AATTAGGAAATGGCCCAATTAGGAAAAAGTGCACACATCAATGCATATACTACACATGGGTCAAACCCATTGGTAAATATCTGTCAACAAACATCCCAATGAGGGTATTCTGTCTACAAAATAATAGGTAAATCCCCTGTCCCCTATATTAAAAAAATCCCAAGTTTTTCTCTTAAATATAGGACCCCAGACACCCCTTGTGGCTGAAAAAATATATCCTTAGTCAACCCTAGCTGCAAAATATATCCCAAGTCCAACCCAGACAAGAAATATATTTCTACATTGTGACAGTCACAATTCAGGGTCCAGGCATAAGAAATATATTTGGAGTCCATTCCAGTGAGGAAATATATTTTGGGGTGTGTGACACACTAGAAATATATTTAGTGTGACATTGGACAACAAAATATATTTAGGTAAAAGTGGAGATATACAAGCCCAGAATATATACACTATAGATATACACCCTGACATTTAGTCCCGTAGTATTCATGGAGTTTGCAAGACTAACAGTCAGTTGTCAGTGGGTGACTGAAGTGAATCTCAACTCTTCTGGATGATCAGCACTCTTACCATCTTTGGTATATCTCAACATGAGGCTAAAGACATGAGGCTCAGGTCTATAGCTAGGACGCGGAATGTACAAGTTCGAAGTGGCAGTAAAGCTAATGCCAGCAATACATTTTGGTGTTGTTAACATGGAGCAAGAACATCCCAATGTTGCTAACCAAGGAGCTCTGGGCTGCAATATTATCTGCTGGTTGTTATAATTACATGTCTTAAGTATATGATCATGATTTTTGTGGCCGGTGCTTTATCAATCAACTGGCCCGCTGAGCCGGCTCGGATACGAAAAGGGACTACATGTTTAGCGCCCCTTACCTTGTCTTCTATTCTGACTGGATCGATGCAGAGAGAACTGTCACTGTTTCAAATTCCAAAATTTTTTGGGGGTCTCTGGACATGAGATTCACTTCGTTCTTGAATCCCCATTCTTGCCTTTCCACCATCCAACTCTCATACCATGTGTTATCCTATGAATCATTTGGGTACCAAGCTTGTAACAATGGATGTCCCTCTTTTGAAAAGTGAAGGACAAGTTAAAGGGAGTGGTGCTTCATTCGGCAAAATCACTTTCTCACCAGATGGCAAGCTTGTAGCTATTGGTGATGCTAGTGGCCGCTTGACAGTAAGTTATATCTCCATCATATCCTTCTGGTAATTATAAACTCACCAGTATTCTTTCATAGATTAGATGCACTTGGACTATGTGGGGACTCCTTAGGACATATGAGCTCGGGTCCAAAATTCGGGACATATGTTGGCACCCTGTCCAGTCAGACACCTTGTTTATCGGCTGTGGGTTGGGGAATTTTTATTGCCTAACAATGGAAGAAGAGGGTGTAAGAAACTCAATACCTCACCGAACTGAGCTTTGCTGATACTGAATGTCAGGAGAAAGTCATTCGTCGGGAAGTCCCCAGCTTTATACACACCATTGCTCTCAATGACAACAGGAACCAGTTGGTAATTGGCTACAGCAATAATACTTGCATCTCAGTTGTTTTGCTTGATGACCCTTGCTCAGGTAAACTATGCTGATCTTTTCAAAGTGGGAGCTAAAGTTGATCATAGATATACAAAAACCCCTCATACTGCTCAAGACCTTGAAGAGACCCAACCCTGAGAACATTCCTCATAGAATATTTTATGTCTTCAATGGCACAGTTCTCATTGCATATTTCAGTACTTTAGGTTTTTTGTGAGTGGCTTGTTCGAATCCTGATTGAACTCACTGACTTCTTGAAGTGCATATCGGGGGTTCCATCCTTACGACAAGCTGTTTGAAATTGAAGCAAAAAACTGGATGTCAGTCACTGTCGGCTAACAGTACATGCTCAATTACTCACTTCTCATCAGTGGAGGTGTTGCTCTCTCTCTCTGTCAAAGCTAACTCTTGCAGTCACAAATTTGACGGATGGTATCGACTACTACTCTATTACCCAGCAGCACTATGCACACTCGATAGGATATGATGCCACAAAGGGCAGCACAACCATTCGTTACACTGAGATTGTATTCTTAGACAACATGACCGTGGCGGCTGCTCACGTGTCAGGAAGTCTCGTTGTCGCAAGCTGGGACCCTACCTTGAAACCTTCTATCAATGTTCTTCACAAGAACGATGGGACTCTCAGCCGTAAGTGACATTTTACTCCTGTTTATCGTTCATAGATGATCCACTATGCATATCGTGTCTCAAGTATCACAAGTACTGGTGAGTTCACCTCATATCATTTAGTTGCTCTTTTCTTGACTACTTGTTTGGCCTAGGCATACAAGCTCATCAATGAGTGGCTGACAATTCTATTTGGTAATGGCGAGGAGGCGCAGACAGACATCATGATTGCCACCTTCAAATTCCCAACATATACAGCTGAGCGGGAGAATGAAGTTGTCATAGTGGCTCACGTTGCTGTCAGTCATTTTCAAGCTATCTATGCTAACAAACTAACTCTCTGATCAGCACAATCAACCAGCCATTGAGATCTTACAACAAGGACAGCAGCTCACAGCCAATCCAGAGCTTCTCTGAGATGAGTCTCATGTTGAGTGGATGGCAGAGCCCATGGCCAAACCAGCAGGCCTGGAAGAAGGCAATCAGCCACAAATAGCAATAGTTGGAAGAACTCATGAACCAGAGGCCGCAAACTCACTGTCGTGCACCCCTTTTCTACGTTTGTCGTCCTGTTTGAAGGAACCCAGCAATCTCAGAGTGGCTCCAGATCTTCGACACCCTGCACATTATCATGCGGCGAATGGTTTCCCCAAAGTCTAGGGGTGCATACCCACGGAAAAGGATTCATAACCCCAATGGTCCTTTTAGCACTTCAAAACGATTTGTTTCCCAGCTTCCAATGAATGCATATAATGAAGCATGGCTTGCTGACCAGACTTGCCTTGATGGCACTATCATTGTAAGACCCATGATGCAAAGTTATGATTTCAACCATGACACACAAATCTTCCAGTAAGCCATAAAAATACTCTTTGGACATGCGCTGACTTGAATTCATAGATTCATGAACTATATCCAACCCTCCTTCTTCGCTCCCCCCTGAGAATACACTTGATAATCACATTTAATGTCCACAACTGAAGGCATAAGACTTCTGAAAGTTTTGTGACTTTGAACCAGTTCCATACATTATGACTTTGACAAGTTACAACTCACAACAAGCAAAATTTCTCGAAACTTCAACACTAGATTGTGATGAAACAATGTAATGACTTCATGACTTCATGAGTACTTTATGAGATGATACTTGATGATTGAACATACCACAATATTCACGACACTTTATGTTTGAAATTACAACACTTAACACCGCAATGACATCTATCAATTCATGACTTTATGCTGTGAGTACTTTACAAGGCATGACTTAACGGGCTAACGTACCACGATGCCTCAGTACTAGTATATCCATTTTAACGCACTTTGAAACTTACAATGTAATGAGAGCTGCATGCCCCTTGGCTCCGTGCTGGCCCTTTGCATTCATTGTGATGCCACCGGCACCTGCTCGGAGTAGCCGTAAATTCCTCAGTGACTCCAGCACCAGCACCGGGTAGTCTACATGGAATGAGCTAAAAAATGATGATGATTGGTCTTGTGCTTGGAAGAGAGGAAATGCGGCTGTGAAGGGTCACTGAAATATAACTGAGTGGATAGTGGCGAAAGAATGATGAAACTGGACTTGCTGCTAACATTGATCATAACAGGGAGGTGGAGGTCTTGCCGTCACAAGGGAGGAAGCGTTTGACGAGTTGAAGATGGTCACAACAGCAATGCTAATGCTGGCGCGATCAACAGGAGAAGGTTGGAAGGTATCTTATATCCACAGGCGGTGAGAGAGCTCCTGACCGGTGGGGTCAGAGAACTTGTATGGCTTGCTGTCAGGTCTGATAGGAGAGTCAATTAGGTCACATCCAGTGAAGTAAATGGTGGTGACATTGTCGGGAGAAACAACAAAGGCATGTGTGGCAGGGTTGGCGTCGTTACTGATAACTGTGCAAAAAAAAAGTAAAAAACATGGTCGCTTTGATCTCAAACAAAGATTCCGTACTGGTATTACGCTCGCCCTTCTCAACGTCCCGCCTATCCCATTGACAGATGCAAGAACTGCGAGACCAAGTCCACCAACACTAGTCTTTGAAGGGTTCCATTTGTCGGTCTTTTGCAATGGTGGCACAAACCTCCTCAGAAGCTGGTACTTTTTGTTGTAGATTTTGGAGATTGACGTGCAGTACTCTGGGTGACAGAAAGAATGGGTATAAGTTCCCAGAAGAACAGGTGGTGACATGTGCATGGGGGTGCTAGGAAAGAAATGGATACTGACATGCTCAGGCTGTGTCATCGCTGTGGCTGCAGTGAGTGTTTGCGAGCATGATAGGTTTTGTCTCCTAGCCTGAGTCCAAGTCTGGTGGTTACGGCTCATCAAAGTATGTAGGCATCGCTTTTGGATTGCATTTCTACCTGGAGAATGTAAATGCGCTTGTCTCCTTGACAAATTCTGTTGGCCGTTTGTTGAACCAGTAGTTCCAGGAGTGGCAGCTCTCGTCCTTCTGCAGTGTCCACACTGGTTTGGCTATCAGGTGCAGCCCTTGATGTTGTGCTCGGGGGTTTGGAGTGGTTCTCCGCACTGGCAGCTAGTGTCTTCTCCAGGAAGGAATTGGCGCCCGGTGACTATGAACTTGATCTGTGCATGGGCCCATGGAAAATCCAGAGGGCCATATCAGCAAGGAGTGAAGGTGGGAAGGGAGTACACCTTTGGCAAAACCAATAGGCGTGAGGAAGAAGGGGCGAGTAGTGGTACCTAGCAGAGGGCGACGAGCAAAGTCAGAAGTCTAGTGCGGCAAACAAGTTCCAGCATTGTTCTTATGCAATATTTAACAATGTGTGCATCTGACTTACGTATGTGATTGTGATGGCATTAAATCTAGAGTTATAATCATGAATTCGTGATAAGGAAATGGTCGCTGAAGACTCCTACAAAGGCCCAGAAATCATGGAGACCTCCCCACAGTGCGCGCCCTATTACTGTTTCTGGAAATCATCGGGGCGTGACGTGACTCAATTCTGCCACATTCTGACCACACTTTGATCAGTGCCTAAGATCTGAATATATTCACCTTACAAGTTTGCGATCAAATGGAAACCCATTGAGACATTTATCCAAGTCATATATTTTAAAAATATTCTCTAATATTTCCAGCTTTTTTCTCGTGCCTTGCTGCTAGATATATTATTTATATCTTCCCTATTTCCTTACATGATTTAAGCAAAACAATTTATAATTATATACTTGTAAAAAGCGGTCAATAAACACTAGACAATTTGAAGAATAAACTTTAAGTTCTTTCAAGTTTTCTCTAGTGCTTCAAACCAAAACAAGATTTTATTACATACTCGTTTTATTCACACTTTTCCTGCTGCACAAACAAGCCAATTCCCACAGTGATTGGTCCTTCTTTTCTGCAAGAAGAAAAAATGCTACCATCCTTTTGAATTGATCCATGGAGACTCAGGATGTCTTTTAAACAATGCCTAAAGTATAGCATGATAGCAAATTAATTTACACTGGGTATAACTTGAAAAGTCCCCAATAAAAGTACATTTTTCATAGAGCAATCATCCTGGACCAATCCTTGACATTTTTCTTAGTGAATTGGGCTGAAAATATGTCACACGGCACTTCTCATGCCTAGTAACATTAGTCCAAAGAAATAAACAGAGGTCCTTTTATACAAGGATCTGAGACCCCACACCTTTCTCTATGCAAAATGTACTTTTATTGGGGA